TTTACCTAAAACAGATGAGCATGTTTATACATGTACATTTTGTACGTTTAATATAAATGAAAAAGATTCTTTTGATAATCATCAAATGTTACATATAATGAGAGAAGATTTTCAACAAGATGCAACAGCTAATACTTTAGAAAATTCGGCTATTTAAAACAAAAAAAAAAGACAAAGAGAATTTGATTTGTTGTTTTTTCTTGTTTTCTCTTCACTATCTTCTATTTCTTTTTTTTTTGTATTTCTATATTATTAAATCAATGCGATTTATGTCAGTTATCTGTATAAACAAAAAAAAAGTATTCATCACTGCTGACTTTTCTTTTTTTTTTCGCAGTGTATCTATACATATCTATTTTCTTGTTTCATATCATTCCATCGTCAAATTCATAAGTCGCTCTAGTCAGATGATGAAGAGAATTCAAAAGAAAATAAAAATAACTTGATTATTATCTGTATTATTTAATGTTCTTTTTTTCTTGGTATATGTGTGTGTGTGTCTGTGTTAGTTTTCTTTCTGTACTCTTCTGAAAGATAGTATATATCTTTCAATTTTTCATGTGTTTTTTTTTCGCCTCACTGGCCGTTCGCGTGGTCAACAATGAAGTAGCTTGAAACGAATAAAAACTAACAAACAAAGTTCATGTATTTTTTCATAATTCAGAAAAGATAAGTAATACATTTGAGTAAGATTATTCAATAAAGATTAGTTGAATATCTACAATTAAGTAATTAGAACAGAATAACATTGTATGTTGAAACATATATGTTAGCTATATACTTCATATTTTTAAATATATCTAAATAATCATGACAATAAAGTTAGAATAGTGTTACACATGTATATTAGCTATTTATATGTTACATTGATTCTTGCAGATCGTAGTTCTCATATACTAGTCATATCTTTGATCGTCATATTCACTTTTTTTTTGTATAAATAAAGTATTGTTCATTGAGCAAATTGTAATTTTTCTAGTATCTTCTATCCTGAGATATTCAATGTTTGAAATTCTCTCGTATATAATAGTAAATTATGTTTGTATATGTACATTTCTAGAAAAGAAATACTAGAAAAGCTAAATCTTTCACAATCAACTAACCTTATTAAGAACTTTCATTCATACAAAATTTGAGATTGCAAGTCGAGTAGGCTTTCTATTACTTATCGTAGAAGTATTATCTCCATCGAAAAACAATTTGACATTTGAAGAGTTTCTTTCATTAATGGCAGAACTTCCAACTGTATTCGTCGTTGAAACATCAACGAATATTTCTGTCAATAAATAAATTCAAGTAGCATTAACACATAGTTGTTCTAAAAACAAAATCTCTCTATATTACAATCGTTTATGTAAGATTTCAGTAGCCGATTCTTAACCTATATGCCAATCTATATAACTGTAAATCCAAGTCAAAGAAAATGTGTCAATCTATTTTTATAGACACAATTTGTGTACTTTAATCATTTTCAGTACGAATCTTTTTTTGAGAATACTGTTCAATACTTGTGAAATAATTATTATTTTGTATTTTCTAAAGAAGAATGAAACATATCAGAACTACTTTTTGTGCTATCAATAATTTGACTTGCTTCGTACGCCTTCTATCGTTCGTTGTACTTCGAAGAAACGACGTTGATCAAGTAATGATGACTCATCTTTTTCTTTTTATAGTGTATGACATGATATTTATTTTTTATTAAAATTGTTTTGATTTATTCGAGATAAAATAGAAAAGATGACATATTTCGATTCAACATCAGCATTCGAGAAAGATTTCGATGAACAAACGAATGATGAAGATTTTCTTATTGCACTTCAATTACAAAATCAATTTGATAAAGAAGAAAAAGAAAATGAAGAACAATTAGATAAAGTCACACAGGTTAAATTCATATTTCTTAAATTCCATTGAAAAAAAAATTGAAATTTCTTTAGATTCATCCAATGAATGTTGTTGATAAACAATGGGAATTAATCGATCCAAACCCAGATATTTATACATTATTTCAACAATTTAATCATCAATTTTTCTATGGAAAATTAGATAGTGTTTATGTCGAATGGAGTAAACGAATGACACGGTAAGAACAAAAAAAACTGACTTTTAACATTAATATTTTAAATTTATAAATTCGAATATTTTTATTTAGTTGTGCAGGTATATGTTATTATAGACGAGGTGGTGAATGTCGAATTGCACTCAGTGCTAGTTATTTAACATTAAGACCTCGAAAAGATCTTGTTGAAACTTTATTAGTAAATATTTCTTTTTGTTTTTTTTTTGTTAAATCTTTTATTTATTCGTTTTTGTAGCATGAAATGATCCATGCTTATCTATTTGTTACACATAATAATCGAGTAATTTAATCATATAATAATTTTTCTTATATAGATAAATAAATTCTATTGATAGGATCGTGATGGTCATGGACCAGAGTTTCTTAAGCACATGGTACGAATTAATGATATAACTGGAGCTAGTATTACAGTAAGAAAAGATTTAATTATTTTGAAGAAAATTTCATTATTTATAATTGTTAGGTATATCATTCTTTTCATGATGAATATGATCATCTTCATGGTCATTGGTGGCGATGCACAGGACCGTGTCGTCAATGGAAACCTTTTTATGGTTATGTTAAACGATCGATGAATCGAGTACCATCAAATCGAGATCGATGGTGGGGTAAGTAATGTTCATAGCTTTCGTTTGATCCTACTTGGTAACGAGGAGAGTTAAGAGAGAAAATAACACGCTTGTGATTCATTGAGAACAATTTTACTTCAGTCATTATTTCTCATGTTGGTAAATTTATAATAGAAATTTCTGATCAATAGACACAAATATATTTTTACTGCGCACAAAAACTGTCTAAATAAATATTTTTAAAGGTATAGCATTTTCCAGTACTTCTAGTTTTAATATAATAATTTTTACAGTTGTCTTTAAGACTGCTGTTTGAAAGATTTCTTAGTTTTGTTTTAATTCCTTCATTTTTTTATTAAATCCAATTCGTAAAATTATTAAAATTTGATATAATTAAAACTACTCAGATAGCAGATATTGAGCTAGTTGTCACAAATAGTATTCTATAGAGTATATTCAATAAATTTTAGATATGTTAATGATTTGTTATATTGTCGATTTTTAGATGAACATGAACGACGTTGTGGTGGTAAATTTGAAAAAATAAAAGAACCAGAAAATTATAAAACTAAAGACAGTAAGAAACGAAGTGCTAACGATATAACATTAAATAAAAATAATCAACCATCAACCAGTCAAAGTAAAATATAAATTTTTAGAGTTTTTAATACCTAAATAATATGAAATATTCTTATCAATATAGTTTCATCGCCATCAAAGAAAAAGAAAAAGACAACTAATGATGTAATTCCAACTCATGGTACAATTGAACGTTTTTTCAAAAAAACAAATTCTTCATCTTCTTCAACTGATATTAAACAATCTGAACCGAAGAAGATTATCGATACAAATTTACAAAAACCATCGTCATTCATAAAATCATATACTCCTGATAATGAAATTAGACAAAATTATGTGAAATGTCCAACTTGTCAAACTTCTTTACCCAAAGCTAATTTATTTATTCACCAAATACGATGTTATAAATAATAGGTGACATTGTAGTTTTTTGTTCTCTTATATCATTCTTATATATATATTTTTTTTTGCGTAACTAATTTGAGGGGTCTTATTTAAAATAAATCTAGTCATACAAAAAACATAATGTTATGCTTTTTGAAATTTAAAAAACTTTTATTATTGATATTTAAAACAATATTTTCTATTCTATATTTTGATTAAAGAAACCCATAGAATTTTTCTCCTTTCTAACAGTTGATTTTATCTTTTATTTCAATGTTTGTAACTTAAGCAGATAAAATTATTTTCACTTATATTTGATTTCAATGTAAAAAAATATCTTTTATCTCAAGAGTCATATTCATTGAATTTATAACCAAGATTACTCATCTTTTTCATGCAACTATTTAGAATTATGTTACTTTTCAAACACGCGCTAGTCATTGATGATTCATATGATAACTAGCATCATGTAATAATTATCATACTCATCACAATTATTATTCTGATTTTACTCGATGATGAATGGAAATATTCAGAGTAGAATTGAAATGTATGAATGATTATTAGTGAAAAATGGTTTTCTTTATTCGAATAAGCTTTTCTAAATATTTCATACAATCTTTTACAATAGATATAATAACGACATTGTGCATTGTTAACCAAATAAAATAGCTTTTACACACATAAGCATGATGAAAAAACGATGAGTCATTTTTTATTTCTTCGTTTCTCAAGAGTCTTGCATATCTTTAAAATAGAAACCGTAACAAAATCATGACGAATATGACACATGCTTTTTTTTTTACCAGTATAAAATTCTTCTCATCAGTACTTCGAATTTTAACCTTTCAATAATTTTCAATAGAAGTTGTTCGACATTATCGTTTCTATGACAGATTTCAATGAATGATTGTAAAATCTCACCTGCAGTAAATAACGTAAGATGCTTTGATTTCTTTTTAGACATCTAATGAACGAGGCAGAGATTTTTTACATACAACCTTCAAATACTGATACAAACAGAATGTGTGACAAATTCAGAAAATATATAACTATAAATGAGTATTTAGATGCCAGCCGGAACTTTTAGACTTCGTTTCTTTTCTAGACTTGTGTAGATTTTCGAGAGTAATTTAATCTCTTCAAATATGAGCTCTAAAATTTCTATTCCTCGAAGATCTGAACAAAATTTGAGTAAGATAATACCTTAGAAGTTATCTAAGTGATGTACTCAAAAAAAAAACGTAACTATCGTTCGAGAGACAGACAAATACAGAGAAAAAGTTCATCAAGAAACACCAATCAAATCATAAGAAAGCTTTCCAATTGTGATGGATTGGTTTAAACGTTGTTAGACAACTGATTTCTTTTTAATTTGTTTCAAGATGGATATGAATGAGATAACTACTACAAAATTGAGTAATTGGTCTTGCAACCACTGTTGTCGAATCCTAAAACATGGCGAGTTTCGTTTCAATTGTGTTAGTTGTGAAAATTATGATTTATGCAAGCAATGTTTTCTAACACTCGATCCACCACATCCTCATCAAATGATACGTGAACTAGCATATGGAAAGGAAGAAACGGTACAAGAATGTCAAAGTACAAGTATGGCTAATGGAATTCTAACTGCTGTAACTATTTATAATGATCGTTATTGTTTGGGTGTACGAGATGTTGACACAAAGAATCCTTCACTCTATGCTGATACATACTCTTGGTTAACATTTGAAACAGTGGGTATTCGATGCAAAAAATTTGGACAAGGATTAAGAGATATAATTGAACCACGTGGTTATCTTGGTATTTGTGCAGCAAATCGACCTGAATGGGTAATTACAGATTTTGCATGCATTCTTCAAAGTATTATCAGTGTGCCAATATATTGTTTATTGAACGATTTCGAACTTGCTTATGTTATCAATAATACACAAGTATCAGTAATTGTTTGTGATAAACAAATGTTGCCAAAATTTATTCGGTTACATGCAGAATGTCCATCACTTCATCATATTGTATGCATGGATTCGATTCCCGAAACAATATTAGGTAAATATTAAAATCTTAATTCATTTATGATCAAAAATTAGAAAAAAGAAATTATTCATACTCTTTGTATAAAACTATCAACACACTCTTTTAAGGTATGGAAAAGAATGATCTACGTATTCATTACATGGGTGACATTGAAACTAATGGCTCCACTAAACAGTATCAACCTGTTAACATTGATCCTAATGAATGTTTGACAATTGTATATACAAGTGGAAGCTCAGGATTTCCTAAAGGTGCCATGATTTCTGAAAATGCTTATCGAGCTACATATGTACAATGGTGTCGTCCATCTGCTGTCGACCAGATTAGTTTTTGTTATGAACCATTAGCATGGGTGAGTGATCGTGACACTGTTATTAGAACATTTTTTGTTGGAGGACGTACCGGATTCTCTACAGGAGACGTTTCTCGTCTAATGGAAGATTTAGCTTTAGTTAGACCCGACAATTTTTCCACAACACCAGCCATATGGAACAAAATATACGCTGAATTTAAGGCAACTTTGTCAATAGCAACAGCTCATCTACCATCGGAAGCTATTGCAGCAGAAGAAGAACGACTTTTGCAACAATTTTCAAAACTCATTCCAATAAGATGTAAAACGATCACTGTTGGTGGTGCTATGATTAGTCCAGTAGTACTTAGCTTTATCAAACGATGTTTTTCACGGTGTGATATTTATGAATCTTATGGAATAACAGAATGTGGAAGCGTGGCATCCAACAATATTATTAATAATACATTACAATTTCATCTTATATCGGTTCCAGAAATGGGTTATACAATAGACGATGAACCATTTCCTCGAGGAGAACTCTTTATAAAAACTGAGGAAATGTTTTCGGGATATTTTAACAATCCAGAAGAAACGCGAGTAGCTCTTACAGAAGATGGATTCTTTCGTACTGGTGACATCGTTGAATTACGTATTCGCCCAGATGGTGATCTGTATGTAAATCTTATTGATCGTAAAAAGAATTTCTTCAAACTCTCACAAGGACAATATGTATCACCAGAATTTCTTCAAAATATTTACATACAAAGTCCTTTCGTCGAACAAATCTATATTCATGGTGATCTCTTAGCAGATTCTATTGCTGCTGCCGTCGTACCAAATCAAGAATATGCACAAGCATTTATACTTGAACATGATCTGAAAAATTTCGATATGAATAATCCAGATCCAAAATTTTATGATGCCATTCTACAAGATCTTCGTTTGATAGCTGAAAAAGAATCACTTCGAAAACATGAAATACCATCACGATTAATCATTGATTTTGAACCGTTTACACCAGAAAATGGTTTACTTACATCTACAATGAAACCTTGTCGTCACAAATTAGCTGCCTATTATGGTGATCGACTAAAACAATCTAATACTATTGAACAACGATTAAAAACTATTATTGAAACAACAACAAAACAATCGCTATTGACTGATGAAGACGATAATTTCTTTATACCTACTGGTGGTGATTCATTGACAGCTATACGTTTATCTCGTATGATTGAAAATGATCTAGGAATATCTGTACCAATAAACATACTTTTACAACCTCAAATGACTCTTCAACAATTAGTAACTGTTATTAAAGATCCTTCGCAGATGTTTTCACATTCAATCGTAGAACAATTACTGAAAGATTCTGAATTACTTTTGAATATTACAATAGGTAAATGTAAAAATACAGTTGTATCTCCTTCAGTAGTTTTCATTACTGGAACTACAGGATTTGTCGGTGCATTTTTGTTGGCTGAATTATTATTGATTTATCCTTCTGAATGTAAATTTATCTGTCTGGTACGATGTAAATCTTTGACTAATCTTTTGGATCGTATTCGACAAAATATGCTCTTTTATAAAATATGGAAAGAAGATTTTCAAGAACGAATTATTCCATTGCAAGGTGACTTAGAAAAAACTAATTTTGGATTAGATGGTGAAACATACGAGTCACTTGCTAATCAAATTGATATTATTTTTCATTGCGGTGCTGCTGTGAATTTTATACTGCCATATAGCAAGCTTTACGGTTCAAATGTTTGTGGTACTCGAGAGATCATTCGTCTAGCAACTCATATGACTACATGCATACCTGTTCATTATATTTCGACATTGAGTGTTCTATCATCTGATGTTAATAAAGAAATATCAATTGATGAAACTTCTCCAACTGGTTTAGTTAGTGGTTATGCTCAAAGTAAATGGGTAGCAGAAAAGCTAATGGCTAAAGCGAATCGTTTAGGTTTACCAGTAGTCATTTATCGTCTTGGATCGATATGTGCTAGTATGGAAACAGGTGCATGCAATCGAAATGATCTTCATACATTTTTATTTGCTGCAATGATGAAGTTAAATTGTTATCCTGAGACAATAGCGCATGCTCGTTTACATGAGCTACCAGTGAATTTTACAGCGAAAAGTATCGTTTATTTGAGTAAAATTCAACCTGATGTATACGGAAAAATCTTTCATGTTCTACATCCAAATAGCGAAATGCTATTTGAAGATATCATTGATGGCTGTTGTCGTTGTGGTGTTCAATTGCAAAGTGTTTCTCTTGAAGAATGGCGAATCAAATTAAAGACCATCAGTAATGAAGATAGTTCGTTTGAGCCTGTTGGTGAATTCTTAAATGAAAATCTTTTCAAAGAAAGTTGTCAAATATCCGCAGAACAATTTTGTCATTCGATTTCTGCATTGGATCTTCCATTTTTAGACAATTTGTATTTGATGAAATGGATGAAATTCATACTAGATAATATTGTTTGCCAATGATGTACTATTAACAATACTTAACTATATATTAATTAAAAACAAACAAACATATTGTTTAATAATTTAGTTCGTTGTAATTATCGTCTTTCGGAATATTTACGATTAAAGAAATAATCTAATAATTAGAGCAATGCTTTAACATTTGAAGATTTTATAGTGTCAATAAAAAGAAACTGGGGATGTGTAATTTGAGTTCACAACATAATTAACTTAAAATAATATCGAACTTATAATGAATTTAGAACATTAAAAACCTGATGAATAATATATATATATATACTTTTTATTACACGTCTAACTAGAGTCATATAGTCACCTGTTAATATTCGGTATAATAATAAAATTACCCATGTAAGTCATCATATCCATATGAATAAAAACCTCTAACACAACGACTAACTCTTAAGCTGCTTTCAAACTTCATACTGTTAAGAAAAGAAAGTTACTTCGTATCTATAATATTCAAAAATATTATAACTAATTTTGAAGATGAATTTTATTTTATCGAAGAATATTTTAAGTCTCATTATAATATTTCTTTTTTAGTTTTTCTTTTGTGATTGAATATCTTAAACGACATGGTATATGGTTCATTGTTATCAGAATTTATAAATGAATAAATTAATCTTTTAAAATATTAATCTCACTAATATTTTATTTTAAGTAATCGATATGTATAAGACACTTTTTAAATAATAAAATGGTCCATAAACGAATATAATAAAAATGAGCTATTTTTTTCGCAATTAATTAATTAAACAATATTATAATGGGACATTCTATATTAAAAATTTTATATCGTTTACTTTATAGTAAAGATGAATAAAAAAAATCTTCTCAAATGCTTTAATTGTTTGTTTTTTAATTAGAAAAATAGAAAAAGAAAAATATTTTCAATTCAGAAACTTATCTTTAATATTTATGCTCTGTACATCGTACGACGGTCAAGTTTAAAGTGGATTTTAACTTTAAAATTTTTTATCAAGTTTCAGTTCTTTAGAATAGATACAGTCCTTATAAACACTTCAATTTATTAGTATATCTTATTCAAATATAATCATAGAAGACAAAAAGGGCAACTAAAAAATTCTCTTTATTTAAGCAGACATCAGTTTGTTTTTGAATAAGATTTCTATTTACTCATTGAAAAATTCATAGAATTTGTTTCTCTCTAGCCGATATTGTTATGATAAAAACTCGCTATGAATAAATCGAATCGTGTCATTTAATGCTTCAAAATCTTTTTGTTTTTTTTGCAACAGAAAAATTAATATTCAACAATGAGCATTTTATCTGTAGATGTTACTCATAGGTTAATCTTTATAACAAAAAATGTGCCTTAGAAACAATTATGGTGCTTCAGAAATCGACTTTTTTTCCTATCGACGTATTCTCGAGCTCCAATGAATAGGGAAATAAAATATTTGTTAAGAATAATCAATTGATGATCATTTCGAAGCCTTTCCTTTAAATTTTCGGTTCTTCTTCAGATTATGAAGCCGAGAGTGTATTCTAAAAAAAATATCCGTTTTCTCGGACTAATTGAATAAGAAACTGGTATTTCGGCAGATGCTGTTGCAGAATCATAGATTAGTCGAGGCAGTTTTTCGCCTCCCAATGGTTAATAATCTTTTTATTTAAGGAGAAAACATGAGTATTTTTTCAAAAGGAGCAGAGAATGTGAAGAAATATGGCTACTTCACTGGTTTTCCTCCACTACGCCGTCAGATATACTTAAGAAAAATATATAACGTATTATCATAACTTTTTGTTAACAGGAGTTTCCATCAAACTGATCGATAATAAATAACACTTAAACACTGACTCTTTATTCTCCAAATGCCAACTTTACGCATATGAACGAACTAGAAAAAATCCTCAGGACACTAGGAAGAAGACATGATGATATGGAAAATACTTATATTATATCAAGCGAAGGGAAGAAAAGGAAAGAAAAGAGGTATGAAGATTGTACGTATCATCAATGTACGACAGCAGAACAATAACGAGAAAAGGAAAACGACTCATATCCCTGAGTCACACTATAACGCCTTTTCATCTTGCAAATATCTTACGTAAAAACTATTCAGCGGTGAAGAAAGAGAAATAATACAAAGAGAGTAGAATAAGAAAGAAGGATCGAGAAAATGATGACTAAAAATAAGAATTGGAAATTTCCAAATGTCATAAATATAATATATATTTCGTGCCGAAGTTACAACTTCGAAGGTAAATTTTGTCGAAGTTATTGAAAATTGTCTCACCAACAAATAATAACTAATTCATTGACAATATTTTGATGAAAACTTGTGCTTCTAATGAATTCCTCATTTCAATAACATGCATTTCATTTTTCAAGAATAAGTACATAAAGTTTATATCATTGAAAAAATTGAAAATCAGAGGCTTTCTTCAATATTTTCTCAAGTGTCTGATAGAATTTCACAAAAAATTCGACAATATTTTTAGCCTTTAATAGAAAAAAGCAAATATGCACAAAAGAGAGAATGTTTTCAACTGCCAAAGGACTTTTTAAATAAAATTATTTCCACTCGATTAGTCTTGGTTAGGAGAAAAATTTTCTATTTCCACTCGGTTTTTCGATTTTACGATTGTATTTATGTGTTTTCTACTGAACTTTAGTTTTTCATCATAGGATCTCTGAGAACTTGAATAACAGAGTTTTGAATATCCGTTGCGTCTATAGAAAGGCTTTATAAGGATTAAAGACTCTTTAATGCTTTAATTGAAACAAAAACATTCTTAGAGAGATAACAGTTTGCTACTTAAGTGCACTTGTTTCACACAGCAGTCCAAAAGAAACATTGCTAGAATAAGATCTTTGTAAAGATACTTCCGTCATAACTAGAAACTTAAGCAGTTTCTAGTCACTATAAAGCCTATGTATAGATACAACTCATGTTCAAAACTCTGTCATTCTAGTTTTCACAGATTCCATGATGAAAAACTAAAGTTCAGTAGAAAACTCAAATATAAATGTTAAACAGAAAAGCGGAACGAAAGCAGATAATTTCTCTATTAACTAAGACCGATTGAATGTAGATAGATTTATGCAGTGTGTAGTTTGGTAGTTAAAAAGGTTCCCACCATAGTTCTTTCTCCGCTTTTTTTCTGTTAAAAACTAAAAACATTGTCGAAGTTTTTTTTGAAATCCTGTGAGACACTTGAGAAAATATTGAAAAAAGTCTCTGATTTTCAATTTTTTCAATGATAGTAACTTTATGTACTTATTCTTGAAAAATGAAATGCATGTTATTGAAAGGAGGAATTCATTAGAAACACAAGTTTTCGTCAAAATATCATCAATGAATTAGTTATTATTTGTTGGTGAGGCAATTTTCAATAACTTCGACAAGTTGATTTATCGAAGTTGTAACTTTGGTACGACATATATATAGCGTGACAATATCTACTTTATTCACTCAAAAAATCATTCACAGATGAGAATATAATTGCTTTTAAAAGAAAATATTTTTCATTCAATTCAATTTATTTTTCTTTTGTTCAAGATTGTCTTATTGTTATACACAATTCAAGCGATAAATAAAATGGGCGCAGTTCAAGACAAACTTTCCAGTCAATCAGCTTACAATAAAAAACTTAATGAAGCTGAATTTGAAAGGCAAAAAAAGTTAATACAATTAGAGACAGAAAAACCAAAAAATGAAAATGAAAATGAACGTGAAAAATTGGCATTACAAAAAAAACAAGCTGAAGCTGAATTTCAATTGACGAAGGCAGCATTATTACTTGGTTTTCAAACTGCTATTCGGAAAATTGAAGCTGAATTGATTAAAACAAGAATGGTCAGTCAATCATCGCTTTTTGAAAAGTTTGTTGACTTTATGCGACAAACATTAAATACGAACGATGCTTTAATAACGCAACAAACTAAATTGTATGAATTAGCCAGTACCTGTAAAAACAAAAAAAATTAGCGAATTATGTCTTTCAAAAGCAGAAAAAATCGATGTTCTTAGTGCTAACAAATTAATTGATATTGGTGCTGAAAAAGTCAAAGAACTAAATCGGAAAATTCGAAAGAAATGCAACATTTGGAATCAAAATTACATCAAGTTCTTGGACTTACAGATAATACTAGTCAGTTAGCTATTGCACTACGTTGAAACCAATCGATCTCCGCATATAATCTAGAAATAAGATGTTTGCACTCACTTTTTTTTGAAAAAATAAAGAATTAAGAAAAAAAGATACCTCATATGGATTTTTTGTCTTTAGAATACAACTAAAAACATCCAAATATTTCACTCTGCTTTAAAATTGACTTGTTTGATTGAACGCAAACAATAGTATTTATAGTTTATCCTTCGGATTAGTTTTATTCAGTATGCATTCTGTCAGAATATTACTATAACGTCAACATCATTCTAATTTATTAGAAAGAAACATGCGGGAACAAGCATGCCTTTGTAAAATACTACATGATATTTTGCAAGAGGAAGTGAAAAGAAGTATTGATTTGACTGAAGAACAAACTTCATTCTATGAATTAGCTGCAATAAGCAAAGGTGGTAACGTCAAACGCATCTTAAGAAAAGCTGACCATATAGAAATTATTGATGTTAAACAATTAATTAACTCTGGTCTTGTTCTGTTGCAATCTATAAACGAAATAGTTAGATATGAATACAACTTAGAAGAATCAAAAGAGAACAACGAGAAGCACCATTTTATTTTTTATTCGAGAGTCCATCATCACTTGAATTTCAAACTTATATTAGAAAAGCTGAAGCTGAATTTATCAAAATGAATATGGTAATGCAATCATCTATTTTTGAAACATTTATGAATTTTATGCAACAAGCATTAAATCTGAATAACGCTTGGGTTAGACAACAAACTAAATTATATGAATTAGCTATTGTAAATGAACATCAGTCCAATTACTTCATGAAAAAAGCAAATAGTATAAGAACTCTCGATGCTCGACAATTAATCAACTTTAGTTTTGAAAAATTCGAATATTTAAATCATCAAAATGCTCAAGAAATGAATTATTTCGAGTCTCAATTAATAAATATCCTTAGAATAACTCATGGTAATGATTCTTAATTGACCATGGCAAGATGACGAAGCATCACAGTGCTAATACATATAAGTAATATCTTTGTCTTGTGGAATTTGTTATGCTCTATTTCATCTTATCAACTTTATAAAAGTACAATATGAAATTTCTAAAAATTTTACGGGTGTATGTGGGTATGGGTATGTGCATAGGCGTACTTTTTCTCTTCATTTTCATACCCACTCCCAATTGTTTGGATTTTAGGAGTTTTGCCGAACAGAATTATGATTAAGAAAGATCAAATCAATTCAGTACTCTACGAAAAAATGTAAATCAATGGGAAAACTGGTGTTCTGCTTGTTTTTGTGCCATATAAGCTCTCACAAGTAGAGATCCATCAGGTTCAAGGAGAGATTGTCGCAATGGACGAGACACTTGTGATGAAATGTCCTCACTTGGCATCACATTTATTGAGGACCATGACATAAACGTAGTCCGTGTCGTTGTGAGAGACCGCACATCAAAAGGTGATGGTGAATCAGACAGAAATGAATTTTCACGTAATGAATTGATCGTCGGTGTCCGTTGCTTATCATTGATGTACTGCTGTCGATAATTCTTTAGATCTTTATCAGACATTTTATTGGTGTTGTCAGATGAGTAACCAGTAGACTGTTTTTGACATACTTCACAGTGGACTTGCTCATCTCTCCAAAATCTCTGGCGCAACTTTCTCCTGATAAAACGACATGAATTCAATTTACAATGGCAGATATAACATCCTTCTACGTACCAGAAGTATCCTGGGCAACATCGACAACAAAGACAATTCCATACCAAACACCAGCTTTAAGACCTGTGAATGTGATAGTACAGTTGGTCAGGATTGTACCATTAGGCACACTGTTTGGATAACAAATATCACCGCATTCATCAATTGCCTGACGTATTGGAAACGACGAAGTCGACTTTGGTGTTCCTGGAGTTTCCGTAGAAGTTGTGCTGTCTGTGGATGTACTCGTTGTTGTTGTCGTTGGGTAGTCACAACACGTGCTTTCACAGGTCAGAGTCGTGCACATGGTCCCATCGCATCTAACACTGTTACACTTGACACCCTTTAAACATCCACTTGAACAAGTCTGTCGTTTTTTTCTGAGATCCATGATTTCTTTGTTGTCTGGTTCTTTTATATATTTTTGAGCAGTATAATAGTGGTTTTCATGTCTTTCTTCGTCTGATCGTTTTCGTCTTCGATATCCAATTGTATATTTTGACCATCGACAACGTACATCGTCACCAACATTCGCATCCGAAACAAGAATATTAATTTGTGTCGTTTGATTCAAAATGACATATTGTGGAGAAACAACTTTAGCTATAGGTGAAGTATTAATGAAACCATCTGGTCGTTTGCGAAGATCAATGTACGTTACAATAGACCAATCAAGAGCTGTTTTAGCAGGATCATTTAGTGGCACCCAAGCACTTCCTCTATAAGCTAAATAAAAATGTGCATCCGCAGACAGTGTTACATTTTTCGATCGTTCACTTGTCATCATCTTCAATGATGAACTAACTGATGTACAATCAGTGAGAATATCAATTGGTGCAGTAGAATAGCCACCATCAGTTAAACAGTCAGCAACACAAATCAGATTAGCATTGGCACTACTCCATCCAATAGTCGAGATCGGTACATTGTTGGCACACGTCATGTATGGATATGTCCATGAATAAGACTGTGTAATAGTAATATCAACTGGAGAGGAATTATCATAAGGAGTAATGGGAGCCCATCGGATAGTTCCTCCATTGAAGTGTTTTGCAGCAGTAAAAACGACAGAACAAAACAATATGAACCAATTCAAGCACATCGTTCGTCACTACGTACACCAATGAATTAGAATCTTCAAAGACAAATATGTCAAAGAATATCATATGATGGGAAAAAAAACTTTACATGACTAATTAGATATTCTCATGAATTTTTTTCTTTTATAAGTCGAATGCACATTGAAAAACACTTTAGCTAAACACGTTATTTTTTCAACGCACGAGAAAAAACAGATGAATGTCGAATACAGTTCTAAGTGGAATGAACTTTTTTTAATTAACAAAACCCGATATTATTTACCTAGACAATAATTCTGAATACCGATATGTATGGCATGTGTTTGTATATACGATTGTTATCTATGAAAGTACCCATGAACTTGAAAAATCAAAAAAGAAAATGTCATTTCGTGGGATGAAATGCACATAATAATAGATATATTTGAAATTTATTGATTAGGGCCTCTCCTCCTCTCTTCAGAAAATCCATTTTTTGTAATATGATAGAGGTTGAGTTTTTATCATAGGAAGATGGAGCGAAGTTTCCTCTTTCAGAACATACATATGGTTTTAAAAAAAAGACCAAATTTTAACAGACCTCCGTAGGAGATCTCCAGCTTACTACACGGTTTTTGACTGTTTTTGATATTTTTGCAAACACTATTTTGCTACTTCTATCAGTATGGAATAGACATTTTTATACGACATAGTACGGACCGTGAAGCTAGCTTATGTCATCTATTGTGTGCTTTCAAAAATTCCTCATAGACATTATCAATATCCCATTATTTCTGGATTTGAATGAAAAACCAATTTCTAAACTGATTTATTATTTTTCTCAAACACATGATTTTTGATCAGAAAAATGAAAATAACTCCCACACGCTTCAAGATAATACCAATATATTCTTTTGTTTTAAAGGTTTAAGCGAGAGTAAAATTTTGTCCGACCATATTTTTTATATTTGAGTTCTGCAATAAGAAAAGTGAGATTTAATCTCATGTAGTGGCATTTTTTTTTTGGCTTATTTCGACCCGATATGTACTGAAACGATCATAAAAAATGAATAGAAATCAATTTCAAAATTCTATTCGATGAAAAATTGCGCATTGGAGTTAACTTTAATTTGAAACCATCCCGAGCCCTCTATCTCTTGTAATAGGTAAGTTATAAGGATTCTCTTGCAGGCTAAAAATGGACTATAAATAAACCAGAAGTCCCGTCTAGTTTAACATATTGGGCTGAAATTTTTACTAGAAGTGTTTCTCACTACGATCATTCATTTCTGAAAATTTCAGCCTAAACTGATCATCCTACGTGGCATATCGATTTTGAGGGGAGGGCGAGCCCATAAACAAGATATTTTCATAAACCAAATGCAATAAATTTGTTTTTTAATATGAACCATGAAATGGAATCGGTGACAAGGTCAGTTTTAGTTTTAAAAAAATATGAAAAACATCAATATCTTTGTCCACTTGATCAATTTAATGTATAGTTTTAATTTCCTGAAGTTCGTTGGTAGAGAATTTTTAAGCTTACTTCTCTTCATATTGAAATATTTGGACGACAACAAAGTCTTCTAGTGTTCACTAAAAGCACTTCTCTTTCGAAGTTCCTTAAGTAATGAATATGTCAAAATAAAAATTCCATCTAGATATCAGTACGAAACAGGCTTCGTTTTGACGTCAAAACTATAGTTTTTGAAATACATTGTGTCTTTTAACAGGTTCGGTTCTCTTTAAATAATCTTTTGTATGTGTCAATCGACGCCCACAAAAGATTTTTCAAAAAGTACATCAAATTGCTAAAATAAGCTACGTCCCTCAAATAGTATAGTTTTTATTGAAAGAAAAAATCAATGCTCTCATAGAGTCTCGACAAAAAATAAGTTTTAACCTGACATGTCTAATAGAATTTTTTTTTTAAATTTTCGTCCCATTCGATCTGATGGGACGTCTTACATGAAGCCCTGATATGAAAACTAGATAATTGCCCTAAGTTATAGATTCGCATAATCGTGTGCATATTAAAGATATAATTTCAGTACCTGTACATACAGTTCTTATCACTATGGTATCAATTGTTCCTTAATACTATTGTCGTTCACGGAGACAGTGATCGTCTGTGGCAAGTATGAAAGATGACTTATATTTTCTTTGTTTTTTGCTTTGTCAAAGCTGGCGACGAAGGAAAAAGAATATTTTGTAATAAAAAAGTGCATAGAATTCGATAGAATCTCTATGTTATATTCAACGAATCCATACCAGTGATTATTACTATTCGATGTATTTTCCAGTTGATTAATATTCAATGACACTGCGATGCTTTATAAATAGTCAATAGTAACATCTAACAATGTATTATTTGAGAAATTTATTATACATAAAAAGAATGTTGTTTCAATTGATCAATGTGATAAGTTCTATATATAATTATATGCATTATAACAATAAAACATGATGCAATGAAATCATTTTGTAGACTATTATCTAACTAAATTCAGTTATGATCGTAAAGTTTTCATTTGAAAAGATTTATCGAATATTATTGGACATTTGCGTCTTCATTCTGTGTGGAAGTTAATATTAACGAGTGTCAATTCTTGTTGAATCTGATATCAAATCATCGTTTTCTAAATATTACTAGAAAAGTTCCCATACCAATAGAAATTTAAGAAAATATACAATATTTCTCAGAAAAGACTTTTCTTGTTTAATTAAAAGAATAAACAAAATAGTGTTCACATGGTCAATGAATAGTTTTTGACAAGTCCATGCATGAATGTACTTTATTTATGATAAAACCACAATGATTTATATCTTGCCAAAAATTCTACTAGCATTCCAATTTCTTATCATGTGTTAGTTTGAACTTCATGTCTATCAACATCTTTTTATAATGCTTGCTTTTCTCATAGGCTCACAATGTTGCCTTAGATTCTTTTTTTACTCTTTGACGTCTTATTTATTGTCATAGTTCGTATTTTTTGTAATAAACCTTTTTTTAGACAAAATGAGCAAAGAAAAGAATATTCATAGGGTAAAAAAAGAAAGAAAAAAACAATACGCATTGATTAAAACTTGTTTTTGTCTGCAACGAGTAAACCTATTTGTTTGATTCAAAGAGAACATTGTAAACATCTCTTCTACTCATAGATGAATTGGATTTTCGTTTCGTATAATTAAGAATGCAAAAATTAAAAAAGGTATTTTATGAAATCTGAATAGAGTGTGGATGGGCATGGGTGTGGGTATCGGTGTGGGGTGTTGGTATGGATCGGTGAGCGTGTGGTGTAGGCTTGGGCGAGTGTAGATAGGATTTTGAATGAAGAATGCACAGGAGAAGAACTGATATACCAAACACTCATCCAAGCCCTCACCCAACACCCTCGTATCCCCCTTCTTATCAAAATTCACATTAACAACTACACCCAACTATTCGCATGGTGAATAATTTTCTCTGCTGGTGAGCACCCTCTTAGAAAATTTCTGGCTAGGTCCCTGTCCCTTACCTATTCGGCCTTTAGACCCAACCTTTAAAAGAAAAAATATCTTCCAAATTGCATTAATTCGTTTCTCAAGTTCCTATATCTCTAGTCGAGTTTATAGTGGAAACAGATTTCTTTTTTAAGCCGTTGTTGAGTTCTTTAGATTACACTGACTGCTCTGTAATTGTGGTGCGTAGACTACTGTCCATTTCAAAAAGAAAGGCGGATGAGTATTTTTTGAATAACTTTAGATAGGAACAAGATAGAGAGCTACGACTGTTATCGTTGGTAAGAGGTTTATCCAGCGCATCGATTCATATAAAATTATTAAGATTTATTTCATAAACAAGTAATGATACATGGTCATCTTGAAAGAGTAGACTGTTACTCTATGAAGATAGAACGAATTTTAAACGTTGCGGAGTGGACTAGAATCGTCAGCTGACAAGCTACAAATCTACGAAAGCCCGAAACGTTTGTCTCAATTCGCTGAAAAGTTATGAATCAAATACTAACAGCATGTGACCGATTTTTGGTAGGCGTGGTGTGTGGCTGTGACTGGGGGTGTATCGATATTCTACATTCACACCTACATCCTGTTGGCAGTAGAAATAACTATTGATCGCTTAAATTACGTTACAGTACAATCATTAGAAAAAAAATAACCAAATGAAACAGTAAACATATGATTCAATCTACGTACGGTTCCAGGCGTGTCATTTTCGTCCGCAAGTGTTTGTGAAATATTATCTATGTATTCCAAGTTAACAATATAATAGAATATGAAAGCTATTTTGTTCAATGGCTAGTTATAGTATCTTGATAGAAAAAGAATTGTTCTAGAGAAAAACAAGTATTGTCAATTGATCCGGCATGATTGAAAATATCATTAATAATAATTTGAAAAATATTTTGCGCAGGGTGAAATTGACAAAAAATTGGTCAATGGCCGTTAATATTTGGCTTATAGCTTCTAAACGAATTGAGAAAATCATTTTAGTCTTTCATAGATTTGGAGCTTGTCAGCTGGCGATTTTAGTTCACCCCTCAAAGTTTGAGATTCGTTCTATCTTCATAGATTAACAGTCTGCTATTTCAAGATGACCATGCATCATTACTTATTTATGAAATAAATCTCAATAATTTTATATAAATCGATGCGCTGGATAAGCCTCTTACCAACGATAACAGTCGTAGCTCTCTATCTTGTTCCTATCTAAAGTTATTCAAAAAATATCCATCCGGCTTCTTTTTTGAAATGAACAGTAGTTACTTGTATCCAGTAAAAGTTTACGTAATACGATAGACCCTATCGCAAGAGGTAAGTGCAGGTTGGGTGCCGAACAGGTGCTGCGGGCACCCAAGCTGGACTTCTCATAAAAAAATGAAAA